AGAAGAAGAAGAAGAAGAAGAAGAAGAAGAAGAAGAAGAAGAAGAAGAAGAAGAAGAAGAAGAAGAAGAAGCAGAAGAAGCAGCAGCTGTTCTTTATGAGACGTCATCGAATCTTCTAGCACTTTGACCTTGGACTTCAGAGCTTCAAGTATTGTAAGAAGTGTATTTCTGCTGTTTACAGGGTCGTCCTGTGTATGGTATTCTGTTACAGCAACCTAAATGCGCTAAGAGAATATTCAGTGATTCTCAGCTGGCAAGTTTAAAACAGAATGTTTCAAGATGACAAAAGCTCATACACTACATGTTAATTGGATCGTGTCCTCTGCTTGGTGATGGTAAAATGGACTAACATCCATCTACACAGAACGATAAGCCTGTTTCCATGACACCTCAGGCCTGGAATTCTCATTCTCCTTCCTAGAGGCCTCTCTTTATTCTCGCCATCATTTGCCTAATTATCCGATACAGAAAGAGGCATTTTATACCTTTTAATACTTCAGACACAAACTTTCTAACACTCACTGTTTCAGGTCTTGCTTTCCTCACATGGAAAAAAAAAAAAAACAACTGTCGTGCTCATTCCAAAAGTGCCTGTGCTTCACCAGGGTTCCTCAAACGTGACAAGAAGACACAGGAGACAGAGACTGCTTTGAGTTTCTTCTTGTGAAATGGATTGGCATGAAGCCCCCACTGTGCGGTCTGGCATTCAGGGGATATGAGTCGGAGGTCAGAGGAACCAACCAGAAGCACGCATGCCTCAGCAGTTTGCCCAAGCATTTCCTGGTCAGCCTTTGCCAGGATTTTACAGTTGTCATTGAAGCTTGGGAGGCAGGGGCATGCAAAGAGCACACTTACGCAGGTGAATATTAAAATAAGAAGGATATACCATTTCAGAACCACTGGACTGGCTAGGTTTGCAAGTCAGAGATCACAGCAACGGTGGTGTAAGTGGAGGGTCAGAAATGAGGACTTTCAGACCCAACTGTGGAAGTGAAGGTTGGAATTATTACCATCGGGAGCAATTCTACAGAAAGGAAAGCTAGGTGGGAACATACATATATATGTAAATATGCATATGCAGGCTCAGATATGTGGCTATGTTTGTGCACAAATGCATATACGCATATGTGCACTCAAACAAGATTCTTGCACGGACGCCCTGGGCCCCACGCACATAACCTGCTCAGTGTAGGAGGGTGAAATGATGACGCAGGAGGAAGGAGTTAAAATGGACGTGTGAATTAGTGCTGCAGTCTTCAGCATGGATAAATAGCAAAAATAAAATGGTGCTGGGTGTGGTGGTACAGGCTGCAAGCCCAGCTACTTGGCAGGCGTACACACAAGATTTATAAGATCAAAGCCAGCCTGGGCCACAGAGTTCAAGGCTATCCTGGGCAATTTAGCAAGACCCGGTCTCCAAATAAAGAGCAGAAAGAAGCCTGGAGAAGTTACCTGGTGGTGGAACACTTGCTTCTACCGCTGCAGGAGGTCCTAGGTTCAATCTTCGGTACTGCAAACGAAGAAATGAACACCAGTGAATGAAAGAGCAAACGAGAAAGCTAAGAGTAAAGGTGATACGCATCAATTTGTAAAAGCCCAGAAACAATGCCTTGTGTTGTGAACACAAATTCCCCGTTATCTCTACCAATCTCTGGCCTTGGAAGCCTTATAGAAACCAGCAGCACCTCCCCTCCTTTCACCTTTCCTTTTATTTATTTAAATTATCTCTTTTGATTTTGGGTTTTGAGATAAGATTTATTGCCCAACCTGACCTCAAACCTGTGATCCTCCTGCCTCCACCCCTTGAGTGCTAGGGTTATGAGCTGTCCCGCTGGGTTCCATTTATTTACTTATTTTTTTTTATTTGATTTTTGAAATGAGTTCACACCACATTGTTCAGGATGGCCCCGTGCTCCTGGTTTCTTTCAAATCCCCTGGCTCTTCTCCAGTGGACACACACTGGTAGGAAGGAGTTTAGAAGGAGGGCAAGAGGGAGACTGGTGGGCTCTGGTCTCTTCCTCCTGTCACAGTGCCTGGCTTTGTGGGCAGGGCTGTGTCGATTCTGGAAAGACCACAGCTACTGTCAGGTGACTCTGCATAGGGACACGAAGGACTTCCTGGGTTCTATATTGCTGTTTGTTGCCACTCTGAAGATTTTACACCCCTCACTGTGTCCCATTGAACCTTCAGGTTTGCAGGAAACCTTTATTCAACAGGCATCCCTTCCCATTGTCTGTAGCCTGCCAGGACCTGGTTGGTGCACATAGGAATGTGGACTGACCTGGACCATACTGCTCTCAGGAGGCTAATGTGTCTATGAAAAGAAGGAGAAGAGAAAAGCTGGCAGGGTAGAGACAGCATTGTTAGCTGTATTTTCAGTTTTATTTGTTTCTTCAATTAAAAAAAAATCTGTCATCTTGGGCGGTGATGGTGCACACCTTTAATCTCAGCACTCTGAAGGCAGGTGAATCTCTGAGTTCAATGCCAGCCTGGTCTACAGAGTAAGTTCCAAGACAGCCAGGGCTGTACGGAGGAACCCTGTCTTGAAAAAAAAAATCAAATAAAGAAGCCAGGAGGCGGTGATGCATGCCTTTAATCACATCACTCAGAAGGCAGAGGCAGGTGTATCTCTGTGAGTTCGAGGCCAGCCTGGTCTACAGAGTGAGCTCCAGAACATCCCCCAAAGCTACAGAGAAACTCTGTCACGAAAAACCAAAACGAATAAAGAAATACATCACATCAGAAGCAATGGTGTTAACGCTGTTTAAATCTGCTGTAGGACAAGAGTAGCATCTGAGACCCAAGGCAAATTGCACGGGATGAAGAATTCTTCCTCTCCCTGGATACCTTGCATGGACTCTTCACCAGGACCACCTCCAAAGACATAGATCCTACTGGAGCAAGGTGGGTCTGTCCTCACTGCCTGGAGACGGTGAGAAGTCTACAGCTACAGTGAGGAGGAGCAGGATGAGAGCAGGAGAAAGGGGCCTCGTCAGGCTAGGAGGTGAGTGCTAAGCAGCAGGCTGCCATTGTTGTTGTTATTGGAGGTGCTGGAGAGCACACTCAGGGCCTTGTACACTGGGCAAGTGCTCTATCTCTAAGCTGTTCTCCAGCTCTGAGTTTTTGAGACAGGGTCTCAATATGTAGCCCAGGCTGGCCTGGAATTTAAGACCCACCTGTCTACCCTCCCTCTCCAGGACCGAGATTACAGTTGTGTTCAGCCAAGACCAGTTCTTACACACCGTCCTTGTGAACTAAGACCCAAACTCAGAAAAAAAATGGACACAAAATATGTACAAAAGTAGCATGGCTTTTCTTGTTCTTGAATGTTGAAATGTTCTTGAAAATCTTGAATGTTCTTGAAAGTTCTTGAATGTTGGCTATTCTATAGCTCAGGGATGAGAATCAACCTTATATTGCTTTGCCTAAGGCATAGCTGTGAAGGTGTGCCTGTGTGGGTGTGAGAGCATGTAGGTGTGCATACATGTGTGTGCATATAATGTTGAGGGTTTTCTTGTTCTCTTTTGTTTGTTTTGTTTTTTCGAGACAGGGTTTCTCTGCATAGCCTTGGCTCTCCTGGAACTAGCTTTGTAAACCAGGCTGAACTCAGAGATCCACCTGCCTCTGCTTTCTGAGTACTTGGATTAAAGGTGTGCGCCACCACTGCCCAGCAATGTTGTGGTTTTAAAATAGTCTTCTTGCAGCCAGGTATGGTGGTATACATCTGTAAACCCTAGCACTTGAGATGCTAAGGCAGGAGGATTTCTGTAAATTCTAAACTACATAGTGAGTTACAGATCAATTACAAAAGACGAGAGAGAGAGAGAGAGAGAGAGAGAGAAGGGGGCAGGGGTATATTGCTTTTTATTATATTTATGAAAGTTACATTTATTTTTCTACAAAAGTAAATAACAGCTATAGAATCACTTCACCCTCCCCCATATCCTCTCTTCCCCTAAAATGAACACTGCTGGAACTAGATAATATAATCCCACTATTTGGGAGGCAGAGACAGAAGGATCAGCCTGTGAAACCACCTGGCTGGTCTGGGGTTTCTAGTAAAGCTCTGTCTTTTTTTTTTTTATGTATTGGGGGAAGGGTTGCTTGTTCATCCTGATCGCTCAGCCACAAAATAACCACTCAGAAAACCATATTATTTGCAATACTGTTTGGACAATAGCTTAACCGTATTTCTGGCTAAACTCATATCCTAAACTAACCCATTAATTTAACCCATCTCCTTTAATCTGTGTATCGCCATGTGACAGTGGCTTACCAGCAAAGTTTCAGCATGTCTGACTCTGGTGGCGGCTCCATGACATTTCCCTGACTCCGTCCTTCTTTTTCCCAGCATACAGCCTAGCTTTCCCTGCTTAGTTCTGTTCTTCCCTGCCATAGGCTCAAAGCAGTTCTTTATTCATTAACTAATAAAAGCAGCACATAGACAGAAGGACCTCCCACACCACAAATGTAAAAAAACAAAACAAAACCATAACACTACTCTTAACAAAGCATATTTTATGCCTGTATAGACACATGCATATAGATTCATATTTATATATGTGTCTATGAATATCTGTGTATGGTGTATGTCTGCATGAGTCTAGGCATGTGTGTGCCATGATGTCATTGTGCAAATCAGAGGACAATCTTAGATGTTGATCTTCACCTTCCTTTGAGATAGGGTCTCTTGTTTACTGGTGTTGTCTGTCAGACTAACTGACCCAGGAGCTTCCAAAAATTGTTCTGTCTCTACTGCCCATCCCTCCACAGGAACACTGAGGTTACAGATGGAATCCAACTTAATGTAGGTGCTGAGAATTCTAGTTCGGGCCTTCACACTTGCATGGCAAATGTTTTCTTTCTCCACTAACTCATCTCCAGCCCTAGATACATTATTTTTAGTGTTAAAGTCTTGACTCCTTTCTTGGTCTCAAAGAAATTGTTTTTCTTTTTCCTTTCTGTCTTTGAAACAGGAGTTTGTATGGGTCAAGTTTGTCTAGTAGTCACAGTATAGTCAAGGATGGCTTTGAACACCTGACCTTCTGTGATGTCTCTTTTTGGTTGTCAACTTGACTACGTCTGGAATGAACTAAAATCCAGAAATGGAAGGCACACTTGTGATCCGGATCTTGAGACAAGAAGACAACTTGCATTTGATCCAGGTCGTGGAAGGTACACACCTTTAATCCAGACCTCAAGGTGAGGAGACACACCTTTCTTCTTTGATTCTTCTGCGGGAAGTCTATATAAGGACAAGGGAAGAAGGAATGGTGCCCTTCTTCACCTGCTTGCCCTCACCTTGTCAGCACCTCCACTCCTGCCCTGGCATTGGAGCAACTTCCTCAGGATTCCAGCAGATACAGAAGACCAGCTGGGACATCCATCCAGCCTGGTGGGACTGAGCAGCTACTGCTAGATTCTTGGACTTTCTGTTCACAACTGGCCATTGGTGGAATGTAGCTTGTAAGTCATTCCAAAAAAATTCGTGTGTGTGTGTGTGTGTGTGTGTGTGTGTGTGTGTGTATCATAGATAGAGGATAGATAGATAGATTCATTCCGTAAGTTCTGTGACTCTCGAGAATCCTCACCAATGAACCCTCCTATATCCCACTTACAGCTTACCTTTTGACTGAACTGTATTTATTCAGGGTTGAGGCAGGGTCTCATTATGTAGGCCAACTCCTAGGCATCTGCTTGCCTCTATGTCCTAAGTGCTGCTACTAAAGGTGTGAACCACCTTGCCTGGCAAAGCCTAGATTTTTACTCATTTCTACCAGAGCCTAATAACCAGGACATTCTGAGGACGATTTCAACACTGGCAGTCCTCATTGGTTACCCTTGTGCCAGATTTTTGTCTTGTTATTGCCTCTGGGTCTGCTCAAACCGTCGCTGTAGGTGTTACATGTTGTCAATAAAATGTATGAATCATAGCTCACATAGGCACTCTCATGCAAGGCTTGGTACTGTCTGCAGCCTGTGACTCATGCCTTGTCTTGTATTTGGCCCTTGGTGGATATGAGTAACAATTTCTTCTGACTCGATGGCTACACTTTAAAGTGCTGTGTCATATACTCAACTCTTGTCAAAGGCTCTGCCAGTTTTCAGTACCACCGACAGTGTACATCCGCGGAGGTATTGGACATCATTAGTCCTTTGAAAGTTTTTAAGGAAGTATGGCTCCCTACCAACTCTGGATATTACCGATTTTTACAGTATTGTCATAAACTAGGAGTGGTAGAATTTGCCTGCAATCCTAGCCCTTAAGAAGCGGAAGCAAAGGGATTGCTCTAAGTTCCAAGCTGGGCTGCTGTCTAAAAACACTCCCACCCCAAGACCAAACACAGGGGGTGATGCCTGGAAGCCTAGGACTCAGGAGGCTGAGGCAGGAGGATCCCTATGAGTTTGAGGTCAGCAAAGGCTGCACAGTGAGTTCAAGGTCAGAGTGTTGGGACTATAGGCCTATGCTATCAAACCTGACTGCTTTCCTTATTGGTTCATATCTATGTATGTAATGACTAAAATTCTTTTTTTCTGGTATATATATAAACATTCATTTTGGGGATGGGCATGGAGGCAGAGGTAGGTAGATGTTTGTGAGTCTGAGGTCAGCCTGGTTGATTGGATGGATAATTCAAGGTTGGTCAGGACTACTTACCTAGAACCTGTTTTGTTTTTTTTTTTTTAAACTTGGGTTGAGGAGATAGTGGTAAGGCATTTGCGTACAAGCAAGAGGACCAGAGTTCCGGTCTTTAGAATCTGTGTAAAAGCCAGGTGGGAGTGGCAACTTGCCTGCGATTTCAGACTCAGAAGATACAGACAGGCTATAGCACAAATAAGAAAAACCCAGAGACAGATACTGGGTTTAAGCTGAAGATCCGAAAAGCAAAGTAGCCAAGTCACCAGAGAGTTCTTACCTCTACCAAAGTTCAGACAAAGGAGCGATGATGTGGAATTCTCCTCTGTATGCCATGAATATGTTTTGTTGTCTTTGGTTAATAAAGAAACTGCTTTAGGTCAATGGCTTAACAGACTATAGCCAGGCTGAAAAAAATAGAGAGAGAGTAGGTGGAGTCAGAGAGATGTCATGCAGCCACTATGGGAGACAGATACGGGATGCCAGACGAACTTTACTGGTAGGCCACAACCACGTGGCTATACACAGATTAAAAGAAATGGGTTAATTTAAGATATAAGCAATAGCCAGAAATATAACTAAGCCAATAGGCCAAGCAATGTTTTAATTAATACAGTTTCTGTGTGGTTAATAAGCTCTTGTCTACTTCTGCCATATATATGTTTTATTTATTAAAACACAAACTCCTACACTGATGGTGGTAATACAAGCTGGTACATCCCCTTTGGATGTCAGTGTGGCAATTTCTCAGAAAATTAGGAAACAACCTTCCTCAAGACCCGATAATATGGTAATACTACTTCTGGTTATATATCCAAAGGATGCTCAATCGTGCCTCAAGGAAATGTGATCAACTATGTTCATAGCAGCTTTGTTTGTCATAGCCATAACCTGGAAACAACCTAAATGCCCCTTGACCAAAGAATGGATAAGGAAAATGTGGTACATTTACACAATGGAGTACTACACAGCAGAAAAAAATAACGAGAGCTTGAATTTTGCAGGCAAATGGATGGAGCTAGAAAACATCATTTTGAATGAAGTAACCCAGACCCCAAAAGACAATTATCACATGTACTCACTCATAAATGGTTTTTAAACATAAAGCAAAGGAAAACAGCCCACAAATCACAATCCCATAGAACCTAAACAAAAATGAGGACCCTAAGAGATACATGGATCTAATCTACATGAGAAATAGAAAAAGACAAGATCTTCTGAGTAAATTGGGAGCATGGGGACCTTGAGAGAGGGTTGAAGGAGAGGATGTCACTATATGGGGGGACTTTGGAGCAAACTGGTTGTCAAGATTAGCAAAAATGGGGAGTGCTGAGTTTGATTGAAAGGTCATGCCTCAAAAGAATAAGGTGAAAGAGCAATTGAGGAAGGTTCTTTTTTATTTGTTTGTTTTTGCTTCTTGTTTTTTGTTTTTTGAGACAGGGTTTCTCTGTGTAGCTTTGGAGCCTGTCCTGGAACTCACTCTGTAGACCAGGCTGGCCTCAAACTCTCAGAGATCCACCTACCTCTTCCTTGAGGAAGATTCTTGGCATAGCTTTCATGTGTACCTGCACACACATGTGACCACATACATGCAAATACATATATGAATACACATATAGCACATAAAAAGAAGAAAAGAACACTCAAATTGCTAATGTTTTCGGTATTTCTATCAACACTTTAACCTAAGAACAGACACAGCTCACATATATATAGGTATAATTTGTAACACATATTGTGTAATATGTAATATATGTATGTGTGTACTGGAGATTGAATGGCCCTTATGCATACATGCTAGGCAAGTGTCCTACCACAGCCCCTAATATATCTCTTTTTTAAAAATTAAATATAGATATGGCCTCATGTAGCCCAGCTGGCTCCTGCCTTCTGAGTGCTGAGATACATAGATATACACAACTATGTCAACTTTTTCCCCTTTGGTGTCAGAGACTGAATCAAAGGTCTTTTTACTTGGTAAACAAATATTCTACTACCAATCTACGACCACACCCCTGATCAGTTCATCCTTGAAGAACAGCTGAACTGTTCAAGACACTCGAACATAAGATCGTTGTTGTGTATCAAGGAAACACAAGGTCCTTAGCAGGCTGCCTAGAGAAATGTAGAGATTGGAGCATCTGCCCCTGTATCAAGATGACAATTGGATGACACCCAGAGGAGTCTAGGGCATCCCCTTTGCAGTGAGGAGGTTCTGCTCGCACTAGGATCCTCCACCCTAGATGACTCTGGCCAACACCCCTTGTGATGGAAACACTTGGCCATGCCCCTGCGCTTCAAGCCTCCAGGTTGCACGGGGTTCACCTAGGCACAGAAGCAGCAAATGTCATGCGGAACGTCGCTCGAGGCCCTAATTCTCATGGGTCTCATTTGCTGTCTTGCCACAGGCACTGAAGAACTAAGGGCAAACTTTCCGATGTTTTCAAAGAGGATGTCACAACATCCGAGCTCCCGAGTTTGCTAGAAAACTGTGTGACTTGTCCCACTAATGTGGCGTATATAGTGGGGGAAAGAATGTACCATAGAAACATAGCTTCACTCTCAAGTCTGACTTCTGGGCTGGCAGTCACTGTGCAAAAGGATGCCATGTTCCATCGCCACCTGCTTCCACACTTGTGTGTGAGTGTGTGGCATGGGGTCTCAGCTGCCGCTCAGGTGGGGTGGAACTCCCTACGCTGCCCGACTTTGCCTTCTGAAAAGATGGGATTGCTGGCGTTCCCCACAGTCTTAGTTATGGTTTCCCTTGCTGTGAAGAGACACCACGACCACAGCAACTCTCACAAATGGAAACATTTAATTGGGGTGATGGTTTACAATTGGAGACTCTTCCTTTCTTCTGGAAGGATGCATTGTGTCATGGCAAAGGTACGGGTGAGAAGGGGGAATAGGGAATTAGGACCCTTACTGAATGGTAGCTTATGACTGATTGAGTACTCTGGAGGGAGAAACAGGAAGATCTTTGCAAGATTGGAGACAACCTAGTCTACGAAGCAAGTTGCAGTCCAGCAAGGGCTGCATAGTAAGAGCCCCTCTCCCACAAAAAAAAAAAAAAAAGAAAAAGACTAGAATTAGGACCCTTAATACAATTACATTCTCATACCCTGGACATGCCACTGATATATCAACACACTGTTTAAAAAAAAATTCTCCTGTTAAACATTCTCCAAAGGGTAAACCAGACCCAGGAAGACAACTATCACATGTTCTCACTCCTATGTAGATCTTAGCATTGAGTCTTTAGCATTGTATGTTTAGATGGCAGTACCTGTCCAATCAGGAAACTAGAAAGGGGCCACTGGTGAGAAGGGAGAAGAACGGTTTTAAGGGCTGGGGATAGTAGAACACAGGTTATATGAAAGGGAAAAAATGTGAGGGAGGTTTAGGCAGGGGAAGGGATGGGAGGATAGGGCACAGGAGAGATCTGGGGGAGGAATGACAAAGGCTAAGGATGTTTGAAAAAGCCATATGGAAATATGCTATTTTAGAAGCTCCATATACATGCATATTAATATGAAAGTTTAATTGGAGCTACTCTACACAGAAGACTCGCCCCAGGAGCCAAAGGCTGCCAGATAAAAAGCCCAGTACCAAGTGTGGGATACCTCCTCTTGAGTTGTGGTCAAAGATACCCCAGAAATCCTTAAAACAATACAGACTATTGCCACTGCTCTTGGTGTGAGCTGGATTTTAAGACCCTATTAGCCTGGTGATGGTGGTACACGCCTCTAATCTCAGCACTCAGGAGGTAGAGGCAGGTAGATCTCAGAGTTCAAGGCCAGCCTGTCTACAGAGCGAGTTCCAGGACAGGCTCCAAAGCTACAGAGAAACCCTGTCTCAAAAACCCAAAAACCAGATCCTATTGAAGACTCTATATACCTTGGGACACAGAGAAGTCAAATTGGTACCAACCAGGAAGTTTCCTCCCTGCTGGCTAACTCTCCTAATACCTGAAGAGATTATGCAGCAGGCTCCTGGGTTGGGTGGGGTGAATCAAAAGTCATCAAAGTCTTACCCAACTGTGAATCCTATGAGCTGCAACAATAACCTGCAGAGCAAGATACAGCAATAGCAGCATGAATATTTCACTTTTGGGTTGAATTTAAGTCCTGCTCTACAGGAAGAAACACACGCCTGGTACTGCAAATTTAACCAAGAACCTGCGGTTGGTGAGCTAACCAGCCTTAGGGGAGAACCTACTATTGTTGTTTGCTAAATGGACTGCCCTCTAAACTCATCTCTCTACCCATAGACTAGTGCAGCTCTCAGACCTCATCAGAGATCACCAGGTGTGATGGCTTGAATAAAAATGGCTCCCATAGGCCCACAGGGAGTGGCCCTATAGGAGGTGTGGCTTTGTTGGAGGAGTTGCGGTGTGTCTCGGTCACTTCCTGCTGCCTATGGATCCAGATGTAGAACTCTCAGCTGCCTCTCCAACAACATGTCTGCCGGCACGCCACCATGCTTTCTGCCATGACAGTAATGGACTAAACCTTAGAGCCAGCCCCAATTAAATGTTTTCTTATAAGAGTTGCCATGGTCATCTGGTCATCTGGCGCACACCTTTAGTCCCAGCACTTGGGAGGCAGAGGCAGGCAGATCGCTGTGAGTTCGAGGCCAGCCTTGCCTATAGGAGCTAGTTCCAGGGCAAGCCAAAGTTACAAAGAAACCCTGTCTTGAAAAACATGCTTAGGTCATGGTGTCTCTTCACAGCAGCAAAACCATAACTAAGACTCTAAGCTTGGTGGCAAGTGTTTTCATCTTGCCAACCCACATGTACAAACATATTATTGAAATTTTCCATTTACTATTTTCAGATTGTCTGTCCATTGGTAACTGAAGCCGTGGATGGGGAATACTTTACAAATGTGTAACGTTTACTCTAATGGGACCATAATGTTAACGATCTTAAATGATTGGTCAAGGTCAGTGGCTTAAAAGTCTTAGACATAGCTAGTTTCTCACAGGTCCAGATTGTCTGGAAGGACAGTGACTTATCGTTTGAGTGTGCCATTCTGAATGCCTTACCCCAGCTTTTGTGACACTATTTTGTAGCAGGTGGGTCTGGGTGACAGCCGTATGTGACTAAGGTGGGCATTCAAGGGCCATCGCCATTTCTGATTCCTGCTTGCTTTCTCAGCTTGCTGGCTGGGCACGCGATGTGGAAGCTGCTGTCCCAAGGTCCCACTCGTCACGCTTTCCCCGCCATGATGGGCTGAGGTCCCCTGAACCTATGAGCCCAGATGCTTCTTTCCTCCCTTCAGTTGTTTGGCCAGAT